TCCGCTCCAGGTTACTAGAAACATTGTATGTCTACCCCAAAATACTAGAAATATTATCCGTCTGTCTAAAGGAATCAGAAACATTATCTGTCTGTCCCAAGTTACTTGAAACATCGTCTGTCTGTCTCAAGGAAACAGAAACATTGAATGTCTGTCCCAAGTTACTAGAAACATTGTCTGTCTGTCTCAAGTTACTAGACACATTGTCTGACTGTTTAAGGAAACAGAAACATTGAATGTCTGGCCCAAGTTACTAGACACATTGTCTGTCTGTCTCAAGGAATCAGAAACATTTAATGTCTGTCCCAAGTTACTAGAAACATTGTATGTCTGTCTAAAGGAAACAAAAACATTATATGTCTGTCCAAAGCTACTAGAAACATTGTCTGTCTGTCTCAAGGAATTAGAAACATTGAATGTCTGTCCCGAGTTACTAGAAATATTGTATGTCTGTCTCAAGTTACTAGACACATTGTCTGACTGTTTAAGGAAACAGAAACATTGAATATCTGACCCAAGTTACAAGAAACAATGTCTGTCTGTCTCAAGGAATCAGAAACATTGAATGTCTGTCTCAAGTTACAAGAAACATTATCCGTCTGTCTCAAGGAAACAGAAATATTGTTTGTCTGTCCCAAGTTACTAGAAACATTGTCTGTCTGTCTCAAGTTACTAGACACATTGTCTGACTGTTTAAGGAAACAGAAACATTGAATGTCTGGCCCAAGTTACTAGACACATTGTCTGTCTGTCTCAAGGAATCAGAAACATTTAATGTCTGTCCCAAGTTACTAGAAACATTGTATGTCTGTCTAAAGGAAACAAAAACATTATATGTCTGTCCAAAGCTACTAGAAACATTGTCTGTCTGTCTCAAGGAATTAGAAACATTGAATGTCTGTCCCAAGTTACTAGAAATATTGTATGTCTGTCTCAAGGAAACAGAAACATTAAATGTCTGTCCCAAGTTACTAAAAACATTGTCTGTCTGTCTCAAGGAATCAGAAACATTGAATGTCTGTCTCAAGTTACTAGAAACATTGTCTGTCTGTCTCAGAGAATCAGAACATTATCTGTCTGTCCCAAGTTACTAAAAGCATTGTCTGTCTGTCTCAAGGAATCAAAAACATTGAATATCTGACCCAAGTTACAAAAAACAATGTCTGTCTGTCTCAAGGAATTAGAAACATTGAATGTCTGTCCCAAGTTACTAGAAACATTATCCATCTGTCTCAAGGAAACAGAAATGTTGTTTGTCTGTCCCAAGTTACTAGAAACATTGTCTGTCTGTCTCAAGTTACTGGAAACAGTTTTTGACTGTCCTAAGTTACTAGAAACATTGTCTGTCTGTCTCAAGGAATCAAAAACATTGAATGTCTGTCCAAAGTTACTAGAAATATTGTCTGTCTGTCTCAAGGAAACCGAAAAAATGAATGTCTGTCCAAAGTTACTAGAAACATTATCTGTCTGTCCCACGTTACTTGAAACATTATCTGTCTGTCTCAAGGAATCAGAAACATTGAATGTCTGTCCCAAGTTACTAGAAACATGATCTGTCTGTCCCAAGGAAACTTACATTGAATGTCTGTCCCAAGTTACTAGAAACATGATCTGTCCGTCTCAAGTTACTAGAAACATTGAATGTCTGTCCCAAGTTACTAGAAACATAGTGTGTCTGTCTCAAGTTACTAGAAACATTGAATGTCTGTCCCAAGTTACTAGAAACATAGTCTATCTGTCACAAGGAATCTGAAACATTGAATGTCTGTCTCAAGTTACAAGAAACATTGTATGTCTGCCCCAAGTTACTAGAAACATTATCTGTCTGTCTAAAGGTACTATAAACATTGTCTGCCCGCCCAAGTTGCTAGAAACATTGTCTGTCTGTCCCAAACTACTAGAAACATTGACTGTCTGTCCCAAGTTACTATAAACATTGTATGTCTGTCTCAAAGAATCAGAAACATTATCTGTCTGTCCCAAGCTACTAAAAACATTGCTTTTCTGTCTCAAGGAACCAGAAACATCAAAGTCCCAGCAATATTGCCCTTTTTATCGATATTCCCAAGTGTAGCAGTAGCATTGTCAAACTATATTGATATTTCTTTTTACAATGTACTATAGTATAAATTTCTGTCAAAATCGATAGCCTCTCTAGGTATCAGTAACACTGTCTGTCAATATTAATATCCCCCTGCATTGTAGTGACATTGTTTATATACAATGCTTTTCCCTCGAAGTACTAGCACTTGTCTCTGACAATATCAATATTCTAACAAGATATAAGAAATCAGGGCCGTCATGGAGCAGCATAATTTGTCTATCCTTATCTACTGAACTATATTGCCTTTCTTGGTGTGTTTATCTGTGAAAGAACATTATTGTGTATAACCAAGAATTTTATTTTTTTATTCTTTTTGAATTGTCTGACATCCAAGTCAAGTAACATTATATGTCTATATCGATAATACCCCTAGATTCCAGTAATAGCGTCTTTCAACAGCGATCGTTCTCCAAAAGATATTTTATCAAATCTAGTTTAATTTGTGCCGTTATCTCGTAAAAACTTGCCTTTCGAGCTATTTCCGGAGTCGGTTTTGTAATTAGTGGGTTATTTTCGGATATTTTGTTATCTCTCCTTACTTCCGGTATGCGACAAACCCTTTTCTAATCAAAACTACTCTCGAATTTCTTGAATGTTATTGTACATGTAACATAACGTAATACACATATTAAATTATAAACATAGTTTCTGTTTATTTAATAACGCAAACTTGCTTTAAGGATTCTCCGCAAATTAAAAGCATGTCATATGTATTTGGATGAAAACGTGACTGAATGAGACTCGATCGCGATGATTAGGCCAACATAACTAAAAGTACGAGACGATCTGAGCTTTTCCGAGTCTTCGGATCTTTTTGGAAAAGGAAAAAGTTACTTCTGATATGTGTGATCATACTTTCCCTGTTTATGCCATTATTGTACCAGCTATCTGTAGTACAAGTATTCCTCGGCACTTAACACCCAACCCAACCTGGCCCAACCCCAACCCCACCCCTCTTGCTTGTTACAAATAGTATCATAGACCGGAAGTTTCAAATCATAACAAAATCAAGTGACAGTCGTGACTAAAATTAGAAAAAAAGTCATTTTGGAATTACCTGGGAAGGCAGCTTTTGTCGTTTACGTTTATTTGTTACGTAGCTTTAAACGCACTAAATAATTGTTGCTGTATATCTTAAGGTTTCCAAAGATCTATTGTGTAGGGAAGTGATGTGGACAGATACACAATCACGTGACCAGTCGTCCACAATACATGTAACGATCAATCCGGATAATTACACCGCGTATCTCAATTGACCGATTGACACAGCCAATCGTTCCAAACGTTTCCGTGACCATTAAATCTGTTTCATTGTCATGCTCATCGTCCGGTTGGATGGAAGTTATTAATTCTAGACATGTCTGTTTTTCCTCTCCGAGATTCATTCCTTTATCTGGATACTCAATAATTATCTAGCATGGCTATGGCTAGCTAATGTACAGCATTCAGTACTTACGGCATACATTCCGCCAACATGTGACATTGTATTCCTTAGATTGACGGTACCAGGACAATTTGTCGTGAGCGTTCGGTTCTAACTGATATTGATTGCCGTTTCCCGTGATGGTCGGACACAAGGAAGACAGTAAGGGTTCCGGGACTTGCCTTTCCTGTATTGTTGGAATACAGAAAGGGAGGGGCATATTTTTGAGATTTGCATATTTTGTGATGGTTGGACACAACAAGGGTGTAAGGGTTTAGCGACTTGGCATTCTTGTAATGTTCGGATACGGAAAGGGCGATCAGAGTTTAGGGACTTCATTTCCATGCGGTGATCTTATACAGAAATGTGAATTAGTATAAGCTCTTAACATGATTTCCAATCCACTATATACTATGATTTGTAGTATGTTTAAAGTCCAAAAATAGGAAATACAATAATGCTTGAACTAATGTAGAAACGTGGCCAAAGTTTCGTTTGAAACTTTACGTTCTTGTAATAGTTAAGATAAAGAAAAGACCATCAGAGTTTGGGGACTTGTCTTTCCTGTGACTATCAGATACAAAATGGTTGTTAGAGTTTTCAGAACTTGGAATTTCTTGTGATGGTTGCATAAAGAAAGAGCAGAGATTGTTTCGGAATTTTACTGTGGCGGTCAGATACATAAACGACGGTCAGTGCTCCGGGACTTGACTGTTGTATTGGTAGTGTATAGAATCAAAAGACCATCAGAGTTTCGGTACATGGCTTTTTAAGATGGTTGGAAAAAGACAGGTATTGTGTCACTGTGCTTTCTAAGATAGTTTCATACAAGCAGGGAGGTGATATTTTTCGGGACTTGGCATTCTAGTCGTGTCATTAAACACACAGTGGTTTCTTTCGGGACTAGGCTTTCTAAGACAGTTGCACATGAAATGGCGGTCAGGGTTTTGGAACTTTAGAGATGCATGCAAATGAACTATCTGCCTCCTATTGAATACAGCGCGTTTTTCATTGTTGGTTTTAAACTTATGTCTGTTCAAGTTTTGGTTCGTGAACCATTCTTTTACTATTGAAACAAATGGCTTAAGTTGGAATTACAATCAAAATGTGATACAGTTTTTATATAATGAACATGATATATTTCACTTTACGCTAAGTTAGTTTGAAGTTACTAATGCTAAACAAAATCATGATTAAATACGTTGAATGTAACCAAACAAACCCTGCTATTATCACCTTTGTTTCCATTTTTGCAACCAGTAGTATTACAGAATATTGAAGAATAATTAAGAAAAGGCAGATGACCCATATCCAAATCATACTCCATGCCATGCATTACAAAGCAGAATCAAAGCGTACCTGAGATGAAGATCACAAATGTAAAGTTGCCACCAAGCTTGAAAACACGTGATTAAAAAAAAGATGGCTGACTGAAGCACCACACGAAGAATCTAAACTATATAAATATGATACCTTTGACCGCTAAATATAGTGTACTCGATGACGAACCTTCGTCGTTTTCTGCCCTACAGCGGTAGGAAGCTTCGTCTTTTTTCGTGACTTTCCGGATGACGAGTGAGTACTCCCCGCCCTCGCCCGGTTCTATATTTATCCGTGAGTGATCGACGATCTGCTCACCGTCCTTGTACAGGGTGAGGGAGGGTTTAGGAAAGGCGACCACCTTACAAGTGAAGCTTACGGTGGAGCCCTCTGCCACTGTTTCTTCACCACACAACCGTTTTACAAACTCAGGTGCTGAAACAGGGAAAACAGGAAGTCAGGCAAAGGTCAAGCAGAGGTCAAACAGGAAATACAAGGTCATTTTCAAGCATGCAACAAATAGAAGAAAATATTTTTGAATTATTTTCAATGACAATTAAGGAGATACATGTACAGGTAAATAAGGAGGTACATGTAACAGGTAAATAAGGAGGTACATGTACAGGTAATTAATGTTATACATTGTACGGGGTCTATAGAACATCGGTTGAATGAACAATCTTATAAATAAGGAAATACGCATGCAAGATAACGTCAGAGTTAAACGATTATTCATTGAAGCGGAACACCCTTTTCCATGTTCACAAAAAGGACTCATCTTAGCTCAGTTGAAAATATCCTGTAGCAGCATAGGACCCAATTAACATAAACAAATGTTTTCTTTGTGTAATTTATAATTTGAATTATGTTTTTTTTCTTGGTGGCATTAGATTCAATGTACAGCAGTCTTTTTTCCAACATAGTCTCATAAACATTGTAACACAACCGCAGGGTATTGAAGAGGAAAATAAGGTTCGTCTCCTGATGCTGAAATAACTACATGTACCTGTACGTCTTTATACATCACTGAAACAGAATGTCATTCTCTGTATTCCGTCTTTGCGTATTGCAGAGTTATCTTCTCTTGAGAGCAGGTATTGATTGTAACGTCATTGGTCTGTCTGAGAAAATTACGTCGTTTTCTCAAAAATTAATGACGTTATTCTCACAAACAAGTGACGTAACAAAATGTTTGGAACCCGTGACTTTGGTATCCTCTGAATACATATTTACAAATTATGTGGTGATATGTGCACGCGCTGGTTACGAAATGATAGCTGAGGTGAATGGTTTGGTCTCTTATATGTGAGTCAATACTTGCTTGTCATTTCAATACATCACATCGAAATGAAGCAAGACCTTTCGCTGTTCTCTTCATGTAAATTGCATGCTTTTTCTTGTGGTTTGTTTGTTTGTAACATTCATTTTTACGAAATATATGTAGTACGTTTTTAGGACCCGGGGCATACATGGTCAAATCGTAGTTCAAAAGGGTTATGTTGACAAAGTTAAAGTTATTAAGCGAAAACTGAAACATTTTAAAAACTTTTCCCTTTTGGCAGAGCATATTGGGGAAATATTAGTGGTCTGAGGCTATACATTTGTATAGCATTGTACTGGGGATCTAGGCGGGTGGCGGTTGGTCGCGAACTAGTCATTGACAACCTTTGTCTGTCGTATTCGCGATATCTACTAGGTTCAGCAGACGTGTTAATTCCGGACAGAAATATACGAGACGGAACAGCTTTTTTATTAGGCGAGTCATTGTTAATCAATCACAGAAGGAGACAGCCCATATACTGTATTAATTACGTCACTGTCAGGCGAAGGAGATTGGAACTTTGGTTCATGGAGGTTTTTTTCTCAAGAAACCGGAAGAAGCTTAGGAGGCCATTTATTTGTAAGGTCGGGAAATAGGAGGAGATGTCGAAGTATTGTGACAAATTAAAGGAGAGGGATAGCTTGTATAATCCAGGGGTCATGCTAACTTACAGATGTAAGGTGACAGTACCCAAATCGGATCACCAAACCATCATTTTATTAAATCATTGAAAAATCAGAATAAGAATTATATTCATTTATGATTGTATTAAAAATAGAATATAGAGTATCGTACGCTTCAAATGATTTTTTTTTTTTTTTTTTTTTTGTCACCATATTAACATTTTATGATGACCTTTAGAATGTATAAGACAAAAAGCATGCATTCCTATAGTCCAAAACAGAGTGCACGCGCCATTTTTTAAAAACGTAATCAAAACATTGACATTTGCGTTTGAATTATGTTTTCTTGCGCTATTTGAACTTAAAAACTAATTATCCGTAGTCAAAAAATGGTGCATGGCCATCTATTCTAAGACTACATCATTGTTATAACTGATTTGTTGACACATTTATTTATTTATAAGTATTTTTGCAAAAAGTGATCCGATTTGGGTACCGATCAGATATGGGTACTGCCACCTTACACTCTCAGCACAAAACGCAAGTTAGCGTTACCCCTGGAGTTTCGAGGGTTGATGAGGCCTTGACGAGATCTTGTATCTGTTAAATCATTTTCCAAATACTCAAGAGAAAGACAAAATCTGTTATTTTTCGAATCATTAAGCAATCGGGAAAAAGTTTTGATAGTCGAGTACTTGTCAAGCAAATCGAGGAGATGAAGAACCTTTACGTGTATTTGTCGATTCATTGCGCAATTGGACGAGATAACTCGTTTGTCAGCCAATTCATTGTCAAACAGTAGAATATAGGACATTTTGTTTGTCAAGTCATTGTTGGGCAATCAGTTGACCAGAAGCAGTATAATTAAATTGTTTATAATAGACGTTGAAAAGTTTTTGTTCTGAGCTGTTCTTAATTAATCGGCTCAATTCGGTCTTTTCCGTGGCATGCTCGACGGAAATGACCGAGCGTGGTCCAATTGCACTCTCACGGGACGTACATGTATTTCGAATCTTAGAGTATAAAACCATTGTTTCTGCCACCTTTTCATTAATTGACTTATTGAATTGTATCGTCAATTAAATGGTATCTTACTTTTATCTACCTTTATGCGCTTGCGACCGATGTATTAAATATTCCTGACGGATCGACAAATGCTGTTGAATGCCGCGTAGTAACGACGTTAACACCAGAGGGACATGATAATTCGTTACAATCAGAGATCTCTGTTACAATATAGCTATTTGTTGATAAAACTGATGTGTGAAGAGTAATGTAACATTCTTAAAGAAGGTTTAAATCATGAACTTTAGGGGAAAAAAATCGTTACCCTTAGTGTAATATATCACGGGGATGGCATTTTTAACGACAGTTCAAACCCCTCAACTCCGAACACACCAGTTTAGTTCCAGACAAAGTGTTTTACCGAAACAAGCTCTCAGGTCCATGTGCAGTTGTCACCGGGTTCAACTCCTAGCGATAGTTAACTGAATAAAGGGGATGTACACGCACCTACACATGTAAATCTATATATAGAACGAGCTATACCCTGCGTTAATGCCCTGTAGATTACTACAGATCAGTTGTTACGCGCATGTTTACATTCTACCTCGTGCCGTAAACATCCTGTGTGTGGATGGGAAAATAAAATGGTTACCATGACAACAATGCACGATGGGAGATAGACAGACGAATACAGATGAGTGCTTGTGAGCTTGTGTTAGAACAATCATAAACGACGAGTTGTTCTATTAACACGTGGGTGATCTTATCAAGTTGTTTAGAAGGAGGGATGCAGTACAACTTTCGTCTAGGTCGCCGTAAATATTTTATAAATACGGAAATAGTGAAGATTTTTTTACTATTTTAATTTCAATTGTAATCTATTGTAAAACACAATAAAATATCGCTATCCAGAACACTTCAGTATCAGTTCTTATGAACGACAGTGTTTCACATCTACCATTTATGTTACAACATGGCCGCGATCGACTTCCAGTGTACAGAGGTCAACTCGATGCAGGAAATATGGCTCCGAGTCACTTGCGAAGCATGCAAGGTCAGCTATTGATAGTTATCTTTGCGCGAGGATACATGTTAGGAGACTATAAACACAGCTAGAATGGCTATTATACAGCTAATGTATATATTTCCAGCAGATTTCAGATAAAATGATCAATTTCATTGAAGGGCGTCAACTCCATCAGAACATTACTTCGTGTTCTTTCTGTACAATACAACGATACCCATGTGGACATGATAGTTCTACAAATCTTAATTACGGAAACTTGGCCGTTTGACCTTATCGAGGTAGACATATCAATATGATAAAGTATTTTCATCGCCATTGACTAGGTGTTGCCATGATAGTTTCTCTATGTACATATGCATACTCTTTCACTGCCCAGTGGTAGCCTCGTAGCTCCAGTCTCTATAAGATACACCGTAACTACAAGTATAATGATCAAATACCGTTATATATCTCTGTGTGTAATATGTATACGTCACACTGGTAAATAACTGACCGCAATCTATTGACTCTGTTCGGGAACATTTCTCTTTAGCTCATTTTATGTTGTGGCATACTGATAAACCAGAGGTTTTGGGTTCGACCAAACGCGAAACCGTTGAAAAATAATTATATCCCTCGTAGGGATCCGGGAAATAACGACAGAAATATTAAAGCTATGCTCTTGCATACATTGCTGTTATCCCTGGAAGCTAGCAGGACTAGATTATCATTTTTAATAGAAAAAAGAAACAATAAACCAATGGGATTGGAGTTTCTGGTTTTAAAATCAACGAACAAAAAACATATTTTCAAACGATATTCGAAAGTTTTAACAGGCACACCAACAACGATCTATTCACTGATCTCAAAACGAATAAAAGGCTTCTCGTTTTAAAATTTTGCTGATCATTTGTTGTGAAGTAATTACATTAGATGAAATCCAATTAGTGCAACATGGTGTTATTTCGATTAAATTGATACTCGCCTGGCGCACCTGATGTCACTTCATACAAACAACCCGCGGTTTAGTAAATGTCATTTATTCCGTCATTGATCGCATGTATTAGGCGCTTTTGACAGACGTATTGAACAATGTAGGAGGCGCTTTTGTCATATGTATGGCTCTAGACTTTTGTGACAAATGTATGGTACAAGGCGCTTTTGACATATGTATGGCTCTAGACTTTTGTGACAGATGTATGGTACATGCAACGAGGCGTTTGAGACAGATATGGGGTATTAATCTTCCTATGACAGATGTATGGTCCAAGGCGCTTTTGACATATTTATGGTTCTAGACTTTTGTGACAATGTATGGTAAATATGCGCTTGTGACAGATGTATGGTAAAGATGCGGTTTTGACAGTTGTATGGTAAAGATACGCTTGTGACATATGTATGATAGTACATGTAATCTCTTTTACGACATATGTATGGTAGTAGGCGCTTATTACAAATGTATGATACTGACATATTTGAC